ATACACTTTTCAACAACCACTTGTCTATTCATATTTTTAAAATTTCAAAATAGCATTAAAAATAATATATTCAAAATATATATTCAAAATCGCGCATTATTCGCGCTACCCGCACGCGGGTTTAGAAGCCTGTATTTTGATCCATTTATCAAAGTCCAATAATCATTAAATGCTTTTAAACCTCTAAAAAAATGCTTAAATATCCGATGTGAGACTATCTTGTTTTTACAAACAAATACTAATAATGGGTGAAATCAGTATGTGTGTTTCTGTTTGAGATTTACGAGATGAAATTTTCATATACGGTACGATGGGTGAGGGAGGGAGGGTTTCTTTTCCCCTTCCTTTTTAAGTGTATGATTGATTCGATGAATATCTTGAAATTAAAGTGATTGCGTATGATATGACTAGTGAATATGTTCCTCCTCGTGTCAATATATTTTATCGTCTAGTTTGTTTAACATTTATAAGAGAATAGGGTGTTTTTTTTGCACCATATTGAAATATTAAGAGACTTATCCGCAACGCAATATCCTAAGGCAGTATGTAATAGGCATAAATAAAAGAGAGATAACTATGCTACACATCGCGGGATTAAAGTGCTAATAAAAAAGTTAAAAGTAATAAGTCGGTATATTAGCACTTAATCCTTATAATTATGAAAATTCACCAAAAAAAGGAAAAAAAAAAAGAAATTTCTTGGATAAATTAATCTTGAACCCATGAGCCCACATTGTTGGCGGGAATCCACATTGTAAGTAATATATTACCTAATAAAGTTGTTTATTTTATGTCATTAATTATAGTGTATTAACTTTTAGCATATGGACTGTTTCATTCTGTTGGAATAATAAAAAAGAAGTATGTTGGGCTTGTCTTTTGTCTTGGATTATTCCCATGTTTTTTATTGACAAGCATGCAATGGAGGACAAAGCACCCTTAAGATAGGACCACATTTACCTGCCAATTTGTATTAATAGGGGTTAAACAAGAGCACATGGATGTTCTCTTGTAGTGTAGCCCCATGTCTTGTGCCTGGTCTTCTTCTGTTTGAGTTAATGTTTTGTCAATAATAAGGGTGTGATTAAAGAGATATCAGATATGTAATTTGTTTGTTTGCTTATTTTTGTTGTGTAGATCATCCCTTGGCAATCCAAGTTTAATTTATAGCATAATGTTTGGGGATCTTTGTTCGAGTCAAAAATGGGTTGATCGTCAAGTGTCATCCTTCTTATTGCTTAAATTAGTCTCTTAAAGAGCAAATAAATAAGAAAAATTTAGGCTTGATCTAATTTAGAATGGGGATAATAATAGGGTTGGTAAAAGAATTCTTTAACTTGGTCTTTGTTAGAATATAAAATAGTGATTCTCAATCATCAACATAATTAGAGCTTTAATGTAGTGACATAGTTCTTTGGTTTGACATCATCCATGTTCAATTCTTAACCAACACAAATCTAAATAGATATTAGAAAAAAATGATACTTCCATGTGAGTCCTGATTTCAGCCCAAAAAAAAATTGCCCAATCTATAAGCATGTGCTGCATGTTCTAATTTTTGGTCTAGTAGCATCATCCATTAATGGTCAAGGTAAAGTAAGATTAGCGGTAATATACATGCATGAATTAGATTCGCATGACAAAAATTCAAGTTTGAAAATTTAGAGAATATGCAAAATAAATATAAAAATTACAGCATCATTTAATAGTTAAACAAGTTTGAAAAATCAAGTGCTTATCTCCCATTTTTATCTCCCATTTCTCCTATACAGCAGGGTGAAAATTGAACATGGCGCAACGCACTGCTTATCACTGAGCCCAACGGGCTGTTCAAAGAAATACACATGTAAAGGTTTTTGTGTTCTGAAGCTTTGCACAAAGTTGCAACTAGAAAATATTTGGCCTTTTATAGATACGCCCATAGGCAGTACAAATAGAATTAGCCCGTTTGCAGCTTTTCATAGCGTGCAAATTATCTGGATCTCAATAATAACAAACCATAACGATATTGTGATCCTCGCTCACTCAGGCATGATATACAGCACGCAAATGAACAAAATAAATAAGCCGAGACCAGAATCAATACATTTTTTCTTACTAAAAAACTTACTTTTCTTCTTTTAATTGTTGCTGGTAATTAGAATGGTACAGTTTAATTGTCAGTTGTTTAAGCAGTGCATAACTTCGCTTGTAGTACACATCCTAAGCGTTATATCATATCAAATGTCAGATCTCAACACAGCTTCTTCATAATGCATGATGTCTGATATGGATTCGAGGTAATGGATGACGTTTTTGAGGCTCTCTTTTAATTCCTATGGCCTGTTTGTTTCGTAAAAAAAATACAGAATGTGGGGGAAAGAAAATTGATATAGGTGAATTTTGATATTTTCCTCCACATTCAGATGTTTGTTTTGTCAAAGCTATAAAAGAAGTGGAGGAGAAAATGAGTTGTCACCATATTATTGGATGAGATGAGTAATTTTTGATGTTTTCCTCCACTTTCTTTGTTTAGGTTCTTTTCTTGTGTTTGGTCCATTCTCAAAACTAAGAAAATAGATGAGAGAATATGAGTTGTCATTATATTATTGGATGATGTGACTCATACTTAGGAAAATCAATTTTCTTGTTTTTTTGGAGGAAATGGATGGAAGAAAATTTTTAATGAGATTGGATGAATTGTCACCATATTATTGGATGATATGAGTAATTTTTAAAGATGATAGAAAGTGAAAGAAAATGGGGTGAAGTGAGTTGGATGAGTTGATTGATGTAACACATTTCTTGTGTTTAGTTTATTTTTAAAAGTAAGAAATGAGATGAGATGAGATGAGTTGTCACCATATTATTGGTTGATGTGGGAGATTTGTAACGATGGAAAATGATGAAAGTGAAGGAAAATGAGTTTTGGAAAATAAAGGAAACGAACCAAACAGGCCCTTAAGGTAATGCATGATGTTTTTGAGATTATCTTTAGATTTTCCATCTTTACAAATAGCAAGTTCAGTATGTGCTCAGATACTCCCTTCTCAATGTGTATGATATCCGGATTGTGATGCACTTTATTTATCTTCCAATATGGCAGTTCAAAGAAAATATTTTTTTAGTTCTATCTTTGTGGTGTTTCCTCTCTTCTCTTTACTTTCATGAAAGTCTCATTTTTTTACCATGCCACTGAGCAAGTATATTCTCTTCGGATTAGGGATATGGATACAGACAATTCTCTTTAGTACCATCAAAGTGGGTGTTGTCATCTTTGTAGGGATGATTTTAGCGCAACATATGCCACCACAATTGTTATGGTGTTCCCACTCACCGAAATACAATTTATTGACAAGTGACAAACAAATGTATTTTCGCAATCAATGCCCCAATCAACTTGGTGGCCCAAGCCCAGCAGAATCCGACTTAGCCGACTGGTCGAGTCGATATTCCTTCATGTCGACTGAAAGAGTGGTACTAGTCGATCCGCTTGTCAAAGATGACTCACCAGGAGTCCACTCGACTATGTGACTAATGCCTCACGAGGACGACTCGAAAGGCGTTACGTCTCGACGAAGCAAAAGGATAACTTCTGCTTCGAGCTTATCCTCGTTGATAACGTGTCCACGTCACATTTAATGCTTAGCGGGCATCATCATGCCTCTAGCCCCAACAGTCTTTATGACTCATCGGACCACGTGGGTCACCGTCATACTCCCTCTCACTTCTCATTTAGTGCTGAGGAGATCCTCCCTCCAGTCGCCAGCCGACACCTGTAAAACAGTGGCTGACTCAGCTGCCAGCCCGTACTTCACCTCCGCCCTTCTATGCTCGGTCGAAATGACCAATCTACTCCTTATGCACTGAGTATAAATACATGTACTATTCTAACATTCAAGAGGTTCACAAATCAGATCCTCTAACGCACACACTGTACAATTACAAGAACACACAGTTCTTCCTTTATCCCACTCAAGTCATCGGCTAACTTGATTGTTGGAGGTACAACAAGGGACCAATCCCCACCCTCTCATGAATTTTTATATGTGCAGATTGTTCAGCAACCCCATTCAAGAACCAGACATAAAGTCAGGGAAGAAAGCGGCCCCTCTTCAATACTGAACAAATCGATCCTATCCAACATCGAATTGACTGTGTGATCATATAAACCATCAACAGTTTGGCACCCACCGTGGAGCCTTCTTTCTTTTTTTGAGAAGACATGTCAGGTTCTAAGCAAGGGTCTGATCAGTCTAACCCTGAAGAACAATTCTAGAGCTATGTTACTCGAGCCCAGCTCGAGGAAACTACTCACAAGCTTTCTCAGTCTCTACGAGAACAATTCACTATCCTCACCAGCAAACTTCTCAGTCAGCTTACGCAGCCACAACAAGCTACTTCAGCCTTCCCTCCCCCTCAGGAGACCAACGGTCGGAGGCTCACCCTTCTGGAGCACAGCAGATGCTCCCTCTCAGACTCCTCATGTTGCTGCTCAGCAGTTGGGGAATCGCGTCAAGCACACATCCATGTCGCCTCATCGAACGACTCACGTTGACGAGCCTCACCGACACCACTGCCGTCATCAGGAGACCTCTGGCGAGAGTCCCGATCTTGGTCACTTTAAGGACTCTCCTATGGGAATAGCCTCTAAGACTCTTCTCTATCATCATGCATCCCCAACTCCTTCAGTCACCATTGGAGCCTCAGGATATGACCTAGTGTATTGACCGGTCGCTGACGCCATCAGAGGCAATACCCCTCTCTCTGACGACATCATGCATACCCAATGTAAGAAATTCAAGATACCTCACGTGGAGAAGTACAAAGGCGAGGGAGATTCCTTTGAGCATGTTCATAATTACTACGATGTGATTAGCATGCTCCAAGCTTCGGAAGCAGCCATTTGTTGATGCTTTCCAATCACTCTTTCAGGAAGTGCCAAGCTTTGGTGGAATCCTCTTGAGAAGAAATCCATCAGTATCTTCCAACAACTCAGTTGAAAGTTCATCTACCACTTCATGGCTAACGCCAAACAAAAGTTGCCCACTCATGTGCTGATTCAAATGAGGCAGGGGCCCGAAGAGAGCCTCCAAACATACTTCAAGAGGTTCCAAGCCATGAGATTAGAGATCAACGATCCGGGGAGTGCAGTCTCCATTTACACACTCGTTGCCGGTCTACAGAACAATGAGTTGGCCGACTCGCTTGCTAAAAAGCTAGTCGCCAATTATGAGCAGTTGATGGCTAAAGCTTACGGGTGTATGGACATGGAGGACGCCCGAGACTATAAGGCGTCGGCTAGATTTGTAGAAACTTCCACATCCATAACTTCAGCTACAACGACAATACCGATCATCTCGTCGACTCTAGAAATAGTACCGATGGTGGCACCAATGCCCGAGCTGGCCAGAAACTATCCTGCAAGGAAGGAGTGGCCGAGAGACCTCCTACGGGTCAACCCTTATTCCAATTAGTCTAACAGGAGGGACCAGGAGAGGAACCCGACGCCAAAGGCAAACCTCACCATCTCCGACACCTCTCTCACCAATGTTCTCACCATGGTTCAGAAGGAAGGACACCTCAAGGAGCTAGCCCCTAAGATGAGGTCGAATCCAAAGAAATGAGACACTCGCCAGTTCTGCCGTTATCATCAGGATCAAGACCACCTCACCAATGAATGTCGTATCCTCAAGAGGGATATTAAAAACTTAATAGAAAGAGGGTACTTGAAGAATTTTGCCTCTCGGTGGGACTGTAGGGAAGCCAACTCGCCCAGAGCAGACAAGAGACCTCGTTCATGGTTACCTCATCCTCAACCGCAACAAGATAGTCGACCCCCAGAGCTTTGTCACAAGGGGGTCATCAACACAATTAGTGACGGTCTCACTATTGGAGGGTCATCCAATAATGCCCGGAAGAGGTATGCTAAGAGAGCGTTGCAGGTCGACCAGAATAGCAAGAGAACGAAGGCGGAAGAGCTCATATCATTTGGGGATGCTGACATGCAAGGCGTGGTGACACCTCATGATGATCCTATCGTCATATCCACAGCAATTGATGGCTATCAGAAGAAACAGATCATGATCAACACAGGGAGCTCAGTGGATATCCTGTATGTCAGCACCTTCAATCAGATGGGCATAGACAAATCTCGTTTACTCCCCTATAGAGGACCCCTTGTTGGATTTACCAAACATTCTCTCTTGCCAAAAGGGATGATTACTCTCCTACTGATAGTCGGAGAGTACCCTAGGCAAGCCATCTTCCAAGTCCAGTTCCTGGTGATGGATCTGAAGTCGGCCCACAATGTCATTCTAAGTCGGACTGCCCTCCACCTCTTGTGAGCCATTCCTTCAACTTACCACTACATGGTCAAGTTTCCATCTCCAAATAGAGTCGAAATCGCTAAGAGCAATCAATGAGAGGACAAGTCCTGTTACCTATTCTCGGTTAAGGGTAAAGGTGCACAAGGCGCCAGGCCCACTGAGAAAGCTTGCCTCCAGTTAGAGAAATCAATGGAACAACAAAGGATGACACTGGTGGAAGAGCTTCAGGAGCTTTGACCAAATTCCTACAGGCTAACGCTGACATGTTTGCCTATGGACCTGAAGACATGCCGGGGGTTCCCCCTAAAGTGATCAGCCATGAGCTGGCCATCAACAGACATACCAAGCATGTTCAACAAAAAAAGAGGCACATCGACTTGGAACGCTAGAAGGCAGCGGCCGACGAAGTCAAGAGGCTTTTTAAAGCTGGCTTCATCCGGGTAGTCCAATACCCGGAGTGGTTAGCTAATGTCATCTTGGTGAAGAAAGCACTAAACAAATGGAGGATGTGCGTGGACTTCACCGACCTCAATAAAGCTTGCCCTAAGGATAGCTACCCTCTGCCTCATATTGATCAATTGGTTGACGAGAGTGCGGGTCATGAGTTGCTCAGCTTCATAGACGCCTTCTCTGGCTACAACCAGATCTTCATGGTAGAGCATGATCAGGAGAAGACCTCCTTCATCACCGATTTGGGCACCTATTGTTATAAAATGATGCCCTTCGGTCTGAAGAACGTCGGGGCAACATACCAGAGACTTGTCAACAAGGTCTTTCAGCATCAGATCGGTTACAATCTAGAAGCTTATGTGGACGACTCACTAGTGAAATTGAAACAAGCGTCTGCCCATATTTCAGACCTGGACAAGACCTTATACACCCTCCGGCATTACTGAATGAAGCTTAATCCCGTCAAATGTGCCTTTGGGGTACAATCAGGAAAATTCTTAGAATTCATGATCACCCAGAGAGGTATAGAGATAAACCCTAAGAAAATAGTCGCCATAGAGCGACTTCAGAGTCGTGCACATTGAAGGACATTCAGAAACTAAATGGAAAGATCACGACTCTAGGCCGATTCCTCTCCAAATCCACCGAGAGGAGCCTCTCATTCTTTAAGACTCTAAGGGGAAGTAAGAACTTGAAGGAGAGTATGACAGGGATGACTTAATGCAGTGCAACATTTCAATACCTTAAAGGCTATTTGAGTATAAACCAATGCTGAGGTAGCCTATAAGAGGAGAGACATTATACTTATACATTTCCGTCTCATCCGAAGCAGTCAGCTCTTTTCTTGTTCGAGAAGAGGAGAACATTCAAAAGTCCATCTACTATGTAAGCCAGATCCTCAAGATGGCCGAGCTCAACTATCCCATTATAGAGAAGGATGCCTTTGCCCTTATCATCACTGCAAGGAGACTTTGCTCGTACTTTTAGGCCCATGCAATTATTGTGCGGACGAGTCTACCTTTGAAGAAAGCACTAGGCAGTCCTACAACATCAGGGAGGAAGATCACATGGGTAGTCGAACTCAGTCAACATGATATCCTATTTGAGCCCAGGATGACAATCAAAGCTCAAGCTTTGGCAGACTTCTTGATTGAGTCAACTTTCCCAAGTGATGAGCCAGACGCTCTTTTGCCATCTCATCAGCCAATAGCCTTAGCACTCCTAGCAGTCCCTACCATTCAAACATCTTCCCCACAGGTCCGTCACACCCTGGAGTTTGTCTCATGGTGGTTACTGAAGGTGAATGGGTCTTCTGGAGAAACCGGCAGCGGAGCAGGGGTGGTCTTGTGAAGCCCTAACAGGTTGACGTGGGAACACTCCATATCCTTTAACTTCTCGGCGTCTAACAATGAAGTCGAGTATAAATCTCTCCTCACTAGCCTTCGAGTAGCACAAGCAATGAAGGCGGAATGCCTCTACATTCTAGTCAACTGATAACTAGTTGTCCATCAAGTCAATGGACGATATGTAGCTAAAGACTCAAGGATAACCTTATATCTTAAAGCTGCTAAAGAGCTGTTGACCAGCTTTCGGAAATTCAGGATAGCTTAAGTCCCCCATGTTAGACCCTAATGCCACTAGGAAAGAACCCTAGTGGGGGGGGGGGGGGGGTCGGGGGGGGGGGGGGGGGTGAATAGGGTTTATGCTAATCGAATCCGATTTAATGCCAATTTAAAACTTATTAACAATCTATCCTAGCAAATATGATATACTACAAGATATATGCAAAGGTAAACAATGTAAATAAGGGTGAAATAAATAAAAACAAACAAAGTGATAGTGCACAAATAAACCAACACAAACAAAAGCAAATGATCATGGAGTTCGGTCCTTCCGACCTACGTCTCTGCTCCCCACTTCCGGGGAGAAATCCACTTACACCACAATATCGGTTTTCAACGCTCACCGATCAACGTTCACAATAACTCATAATGTAACTACATAACTACCACCTAAAGTGTTCGCCTCTCACGTGTCTCCCTCAAGTGATCGGAATTACTATCTCTCACTAGGCTTTACTACCAACGGTATTCCTCTTGGGACCGACCACGTATCTCACCTCTACACTCCTCTTGGTGTATTTGTGCAATACAATGTGATTTCACAATTAAGCTCTACAACAAATGATTGTTCTCTAAACAATGTGAGAACTCAATTAAGCCCAACTCTATGTTACAATCTCACAATACTATGTATAAAAATACTAAAAGCTCAATGTGGGTGAGTGTAACAAAGAGATAAAACAAATATAAACTCAATTGAAATCTAGCTTATGGAAATTAAGATCAAACATATAAATTGCTAGAATTGAGTTCAAGAAAAACTTCTCTATATAACAAGAGTAGGAGAGATGAAGTTGAAGCCCAAACAAGGAATGGATGATCTCTTCTTGCTATTGTGAAACTTTCTTCACAAAACCAAAACTTAAAACAAAACTAAATAAAACATAAACACCCTTTAAACTTGTATAAAAACTCTCTTTTTGGTGGCTGAAAATAGTTATGGCAAAGCGGTATATATAGGATGAAAACCAAAGCGCAAAAACCAAGAAAACCCAACAAAAAGACAAAAAAAAATAGAAAGCTAGAAAAACTAGCCGTTAGAGGCCATCGGTCGACTAATGAACAGTATCAGTTGACTGATGAGCTGACCGTTACAGGTAACTAGTAGCTCATCGGTCGACTGAAGGTCTTATCAGTCGCAAAAATAGAAAAAAATTTATGATTCCAAGTGAGTTCATCGGTCGACTGATAAACTCCGTTAGTCAACTGATAATAAGTTATCAGCCTGATTAAAATAGTAAATCTGATTTTTAAACCTCTTTTAAAAATAGTAAATAAATTCAGAAAAATATAAAACTTTGGGAATGCTTGTAAACATGATAGTACACATGTTACAAAAAGTATTTTTCAAATTGCACCTTCCAAAAGAGAAATCTCTTTATTTTTAAAAAATGTCCAAAACATGAAAACTTGACATGCTTAAAATTTGATGTTTTGGCATAAACCAAGTTTTGAAACTTTGTAAAATAATTTTATAGACTTAATAAAAAGATATATATCATTATTGTTAAGTCCAAAAACTAAGAATATAATATTTTTACAAATTCATATTTATATAAACATGAAAACCAAAAACCAAAACATGTAAATATATATAACTATATATATATAAACAAAAATATGTACATGTGTATGTGATTGAGCTTGAAGTATCTACACATAAGTATAAACCTAAAACTAAATTACCCAAGCTATCTTGATCTTCAAAATGCTCTTCTTGGTAAACTTTACGGATGAAGCTTGAACTTGAATCTTTGACTTGAATTGCATTGCTTCACTCCACTATTTTCGCTAACCTCCATTTGATATGATCGCTATGGTGCAATTCTATCCAACCTTTGACTTATTGTTTGTCTACAAAAAATAAAAAAAACACAAATACTAGATAAACAATATTAGTAGTAAATTGTTTGTTAAAACATCATCAAAACAAAAAGGCCAACACCCCGCGCTCTTAATGCTCGGGAGGACGCCCTCTCTAAGCTCGGCTCAACAAGCTCAAGAATCAACTCGGGGCCTGTCTATATAGACATCCTCGAACAACCTATCATTTCCAAGTTGCCATAAACTATTATGGAGATAGAGGTGTCTGTTGCTCCCTCTTGGTTAGGGCACTTTACCTGAAGATTCAGCCAAAGCCAGGCATTTACAAAGAAATTCTCACTGTTACCTCATGATCAACAAGCAGCTATATCGAATGTCCTACTCCAGTAGTAGTGTCGGACCTTACTTTTGATACCTTCGACCACCAGAGGCTAACTATTTACTCAGGGAGATACATGAGGGCACATGTGAAAATCATCCTGGGGCCCAAACCCTTGCACAGAAAGTCATCCGCTAGGGGTACTATTGGTCGACCATTCTAGCCGAGTCAAGATGGCTCGTCTCTTATTGCCAAAAGTGTTAGCTTTTTTCGTCCATCCCTCAGGCGGTGGTGACTAAGCTCACTTGCCTCCTCAGCTTGATACCTTTCGCCCAATGAGGGTTGGATCTGCTAGGACCTCTCCCCCAAGCTTCAGGGCAGAGGAAATTTCTCATTGTGGCGATTGACTACTTCACCAAATGGATTTAAGCCGAACCACTAGCCAAGATTGGTGGGAGCAATGTCACAAGTTTTGCATGGAAGTTCCTAGTCTATAGCTTTGGTGTACCCCGGTCCTTTGTTACTGACAACGGTGCCTAATTTGACAGTGGAGGCTTCCGTAGTTTTTGCGAAGAATACAACGTTCACCTCAAATTCTCCTGTCTCACATCCTAAATCTAACAGACTTGCAGAATCTGCTAACAAATGCATCCTTCAAGCATTGAAGATGAAGGTGGATGCGGTAGTAGGGAATTGGGTTGAAAAATTACCTAGTATCGTTTGGTTGTACCGTACGACCCACAATAACTCAACTGGGGAGACTCCATTCAAGCTAGCATATGGTGCCGAGGCAGTCACTCCTATCAAAGTAAGCATACTGACCATTCAACGACAACACTTCGATGAGGACATGAACTTAGAAGGACTTCGGATCGACCTCGACCTCCTTGATGAAATTCGAGAGAAAGCGCTTCAGACCAAAGTCACCAATCGGCAGCGAATTGCCCAGTACTACAACAGCAAAATCCGACCAAGGAGATTCAATGCTGGTGACCTCGTCCTCTGTAAAGCCGGTTTTGATAGGGACACTCGGTGAGGCAAGCTATCTCCTAACTGGGAAGGTCCTTACATAGTCCTAGAAGAGCTACGAGCAGACACCTATTGACTAAGGGCCCCAGACGGAAGAGTTTTATAACATCCCTAGAATATCGAGTATTTGAGGCGATATTTTCAATAACTCTATAAATTTTGTTTAGCCTTAATGAAATTCTTATTGAAACTAACTCGATTACTGTTTCGCACTCCTATAGTGCTCAGTCTATGCAGGGATCCTAAGCTCTTGGTACTTCTTCACAAGGTAAACCCAAGGCACTTTCACCATATGATTGACTCCCACAGTCGCCTCTCGACCATCATGGCTATACTGAAGACCTAAGCGTCTGCATAAGAGCTGTCCGCCTAACCTACAGGTTGTCAGAAAGACCTAGTCGACTTTAGCAAGTCCTAGGCACAGCCTCAGGGTTGTTAAAGACCTAGCCAACTTTAGTAAGTTCTAGGCATCCAATATCGGTTGAATATTAAGCCCTTGGTATATTTTTAGGAATAAACCCAAGGCACTAACCATATGGTCGACTCCCATAGTCTCCTCTTGACCATTATGGGGATACTAAAGACCCAGACATCTACGTAAGACCTGGACACTCAACCTCAAGGTTGCTATTTCACCATTTTGCCCCTAAGGTAGCCCTCTATAGGGCGAAAGACCTAGTCGACTTCAGCAAGTCCTAGGTATAGCCTCAGGGTTATTAAAGACCTAGTCAACTTGAGTAAGTTCTAGGCATCCAGCCTCAGTTGGATATTAAGCCAATGATACATTTTTAGGAATAAACCCAAGGAACTAACCATATGATCGACTCCTATAGTCGTCTCTCGACCATTATAGGGATACTGAAGATTCAGGCATTTACGTAAAACCTAGGCACCCAACCTCAGGGTTGCCATTTCACTATTTTATCCCCAGGGCAGTCCTTTGTAGGGCGAAAGACCTAGTCAACTTCAGCAAGTCCTAGGCACAGCCTCAGGGTTGTTAAAGACACAGTCAACTTTAGTAAGTTCTAGGCATCTAACCTCAGTTGGATTTTAATCCCTTGGTACCTTTTCAGGAATAAACCCAAGACACTAACCATATGATTGACTCCCACAGTCACTTTTCGACCATTATAGGATACTAAAGACCCAAGCGTCTACGTAAGACCTAGGCACCCAACCTTAGAGTTGCCATTTTACCTAATTGCCATCAAGGTAGCCCCCTGTAGCACGAAAGACCTAGTCGACTTCAGTAAGTCCTAGGCATTCGACCTCTCGGTTGAATTAAAAGTCCTTTGTGCATTTTTAGGAATAAACCTAAGGCACTCATCATATGGTACACTCCTATAGTCGCCTCTCGACCATCATGGCTATATTAAAGACCGGGGCATCTACGTAAGTCCTAAGCACTCAACCTTTGGGTTATTATTCTATCAAACAGACCTCAGTGTTATTCTAAAAATAAACCTAAGGCTGGAGCCTAAGTGTTTGAATGTCCTTGACAACATGACTTTGGTGATATAATTTGCCAAATCTTTATTAGCTGGAGACCCAAAGAAAGTCCGCAAAAAGCAATATATGAGCCAGTCATCTCGACCCCTTAATATTTATGTCAACATAATACGATAGTCTCATCACAACCAAATACTTGGTTCTCGCAATCAGATCAAGGTTGCAAATTACAAGTTAGTAAAGCAAAAATATGGATTGAAGATAGACTCATGAATAGAAACAAAGTTGATTTTTATAGACTCAAGAATAGAAACAAAGTTGATTTTTATTCCAGAGTGCAAACTTCATTACAAGTTCTTTACAAAAAAAGGGGGGGGGGGGGGGGGGGGGAGCCTCTCTTAGCATGAAGCGATAGTCTCTCCTGGGGTAACAGTCTATCTTGAGGCAACAATCTCGGCAGGAGCATGAGTCTCGACGGGTATCTCGACGGTAGTGCCCGAAGAGGACGCAGGTGGATCTTCATCAACTCCATCCCTCAACTCGTCGCCCTCATCACTTATCGCCAATTCTATTCTCCTCCATTATACTTGATCTCTTTTAAGAGATCAAGGAAGCAAGAGACTCGAGGGGATAAAGGCGGTTAGGAGAGGGAAGAGAGCTAGAGGGGAGTAGCAAGGCAAGATGGTCGACACCGGCCTTGCAAGCCAAAGCCACCTCAAATTTACCTAAGATGTTATGACGCCAGTCCTTGACTACCTTCTGCTTATATTACTCTAAGTCGAGGTGAGCAAGTCGACCCTCTAGGTCCTTGATGATTATCGCAGATGCCTGGTGGGCTAACCACTTGGCCTTGAGGTTTTGC